AGAGAGAGAGAGAGAGAGAGATAGCCTGGGTCAAAAGAGTGACAGACTGGCAGACAGACAGACAGTCAGACAGACAATCAGACAGGCAGACAGAGGAAGTGAGTCTATTTTGGTCCCTTTGCCTTTGATGAAGCAATAAAATATTTTCCAGACGACAGTCTCCAATTTATTATTACTTTTTTAAACTAAACTACACAAGGCAAATAATGTATAGAGTATCATAAACTATCTGGTCAATCAAACCCCTCAAATTTGTCTACAAAATAATTAATGAGCAAAAAGATATATGCACAGAAATGTGCATCGTCGGTAAACCGATCAAATAAACTAAGCCTAGGCTGTCTTAGTTCCAAATTAAGCCCACAAAACAACCCTTTTTTCTGAGGAGTGAGAAAAAAACCTTTCATTCTTTTGACAAATTGAACCCACATTACGCGATTTTCTTGCTTTTTCTTTTCAACAATTAAAATTTGAATTTCGACAATGATTTCTTTGGTACATGCAACCTACACCGCAGATTAAGAAACAAGATTTTTTTTAAAAAGAAGACAATTTTGGGCTTTGTGCATTTTAACAGCTGGCGGACAGTATGCATTATTTGACTTCGAGTGAAAGAGACTCGCACAATTATAACAATGGTCAGTCATAGCTTAAAAAACAAGAGGAATCTGCCTCAAACAACTGATTTGAAGGAAAGATAGGGGTTTACAACCTGCTCACACAGGTTATCCCAGAGAGGAAACAGACATTAGTTACTTGATGCCAGTTACAGTGCGTGCAGACCACTGAACTATCCATTGCAGTGGTGTCGATGGTCTAAGAGTTTGGCTACCGGACTCGTAATCGTGAGGTTGCTGGGGTTTTTTTTTGGGGGGGGGGGGGGGGGGTGAGGGTGGATTCAATGTACAGGCCCAACAACGTGTCCTTGGAAAAGGCACTTTGCATGGATTTTCCTCGCTCACCTCATCCAGGTTTGAATGGTTACACGGCCTACTTAAAAATATTTTAAAGGCTCAAGAGAAACCCGTTTTAACCGATAAAACCACATCAACATGATCTTCATCTATTCTCACGAGAATACTCCCAGCCTTGAATTCGAACGTGCACACGAACGTTTTCATACCTGTTATGTCCAGAGAAATCATCATTCTTTTGTGTTTTTGTCCCTACAATAATATACACAGTTTAAAAGGGGGGGTCCGTTGCCGGAGGTGCCTTAGGTCCGTTGCGGGAGGTTTGTTGTTGTTGTTGTTCATGATGATGATGGTGATGGTGATGGTGATGGTGATGATATGATGATGATGGTGGTGACAGTGATGATGATGATGATGATGATGATGATGATGATGATAATGATGCTCTACAGGGATACATTGGTCACCATTAGATATTAACGAATTTTAGATGGTGTTGTTTTATTGTTGCTGTTGTTGTTGTTAATGTTGTTAGTGTTGTTGCTATTATTATACAGGTGTCGATGGTTTAGCATCTTAGGCATTTCGCTGTCGCTCGCAGGAAACTCGCGTTAGAATCCCTATTGAGGAGAAATTGTAACAAGTAATTCGGTCTTTCTGTTGGGGTGTCCATCTGAGCTCGGATCTGCCCTTTCCTCCTACTTTGTCTAAATTTATTGTATTGATGAGGGCAAACACCTACATCAAAAACAACCTGTTGTTGTAGTTATTGTAATTGCTGCTGCAGTTGCTTTTGTTGTGGTCGCTGTTGCTGTTGTTGTTGTAAACAGCCTCGATGTGTAAGGGTTTTGCAACAAATAAACATAATGTGAGGCATGCAGACGTAAGGGTTACACTTTTTCCGTCTAAGGTTAAGTCTACAACAAAAAAAGCTCTACATTGCACGTCACACAAGAAGAAAGAATTAATGAGTCTTTAGTGAGGGTAGGCCACCATAATATCATGCTCTAAGTCTGATATTTGCATTGCGGATCAACCGACAACTACTAGATCCAATATGTAATCATTGGGCACAGGTACACGGACAATGAAGTCCAAGTGAATGTTCAGGTGAACAGTCCATTAACAGGTGGCTCAATAGGTCCACATTGGTAGCTGAAAGGGGCAGCTCGGTGACAGAATGCAATCAACCGTGACAATGACCTCTTTGTAAAAGTTTTAAACCTACTCTATTCACGCGATCACAGTCCCATAGAACTTCCTTCCTAAAATGTACCCCTACATCATTATTGCCGGGCGACACAAGCTGGGATTCAGAAGCCCTAGTTTAGCACAACAATAGTTATCTTTTGGCTCTACAATGTTTTCATGGGATCTTTCTGCACGCTTTCAATAAACCCTGTGTCAGGCTACTTCTATTGCTTTTTAAAATTTATTTCTACTCTTTCTAAATTAAAAAAAACCCAACTGATTTTAAAAGACAAGCAGCGTTAATTTAGTTTAGTGCTTCCCCGTTAAATAAACTACAAAGTTTCTACAGACAAAACTGATTTCGTGTCTCTTGTTGGAAGACAGTTGTGTAACCCGTGGCCTTCTTGTTTTGTAGACAGGATTTCTCTAATAAACGTTTCTGGTCGTGCGGATAAATGGGCGCCAAAATGCGTCAGGTAGTGTGCATTGCGGGTACGTAGCTTGTTTTCGGGATAAATATAATGTTATGATGTATTCGTACTCATAAGTATTGTTTGCTCCAGGTTTTTTTTTGTTGTTGTTGTTTTTGTTTTGTTCTGTGTTGTTTTTTGGTGTCTTTTTTTTTAAATCAGCGGAACGTCAAACTTGAAGTTTTA